ATCGTATGGTATTTGTCTTTCTCTGACTTATTCCACTTAGCATAATACTCTCCAGCTCCATCCACATCATTACAAATGGCAAGATTTCATTCTTTTTCGTGGCTGAATAATATTCCATTATATATGTATATGTATATATATGTATATGTATTACATCTTCTTTATCCATGCATGTTTTGAAGTCTTGACTTTTAATATTAGCTATGAATCACATCAGACTAACTCCATTAACAAACAACTGCCTAACAACATAGAGTAAAGGCCAAGAATAAAAGGTTAAATAAGATTATAGTAATATTAATAAAATTATAATAACCATTCATTTGAGGAGTGTTAATTTTTTTAAAACATCTTCATGCAATAACTTTATATACCACTAAAAATTTCTCGGAGTGTTTAGTTTCTTCATTGCACAGTAAAACTGATTGTGTGTCAAATGCCTAAAGTTTTCTGAATACTGCATACAATACAGAACTAGCTTATATGCTGGCAGATGACTTCTGAATTAAATATGTTTTTTGTCTAAATACACTTGAAAGCATATGAAAAATATTCACTTCTTTTTGCCAGTAAATAAGACATGCAATCAATTTGTTTGAAGAGAGGCATTTCTATAAAAATTCCTTTAGGAAAAAATATCCTAGGCATAGTGTGAACATTCATATAAATCCTCTTCCTCATCAAAAACATCACAGTGCCTTACAAATGGCTCAGCTTTTTAAATTAGAAAATACAGCTTCATCACATATAAGACCTTAAGGGGCGCCTGGGTGGCTCAGTCACTAAGCGTCTGCTTTTGGCCCAGGTCATGGTCCCAGGGTCCTGGGATTGAGCCCCACATCGGGCTCCCCGCTCGGCGGGAAGCCTGCTTCTTCCTTTCCCACTCCTCCCTGCTTGTGTTCCCTCTCTCACTGTGTCTCTCTCTGTCAAATAAATAAATAAAATCTTAAAAAAAAAAAAGAAAATGAGACCTATATAAATTATTCTTCCAAAAGGGAGACATTTGCTTGGAATGTGCTAGGCCAGAGGTATCTCTAAGAATCCACACTGGACACACTCAAGCAAAAAATATCAAAGTAAATCCCAATAAAAGTCCACCAAATGGCCAGCTGGCCTCAGATTTCCAATGAGTGTTGTAACCTTTATGGTTGGTGCAAAGCAATGAGCTATTATCAGACAAAATTACAGCAAGACCACAACTAAAGACTGGCAGTGATTTGTTTTCTGTGGAATCACAAACTGTTATTATTGCAGATCATTGCAGAAGGCCCAAGGCAATGAAAAACCTAAGAAATACCAAAAATATAATCCCAGCTAGTAACTAAAAGACTATGTTTGTCAATTGTGAAATCTCTGAAATGATTTCTGAGAAAATATTTTTCAGTTTTTCATTAAAGAATGTGCTGATTTGATAAAAAATATATATACACACATATACATACAATATTCATATTAGGCATTTTAACACCACAAAGTGAACTTTCAGGAAACAATCAGGTTATTTACAAAGTAACTGAATAATTAGGTAATAGCATGAAACAGAAGGTTCTGTTACTTTACTCTGGTAAGTAGAAATTTGCTTCTAGAAGGGTAAGGAAAATTATTAAATAAAGAGCAAGATCAAAAGTACCCCTCAATCTGTTTGTATGTAGAAAAGAGTTTTTGATTGTTTCTTCTTTCCTTAACTGTGGCTGGTATAGATATAGACATGACTGCCTTCTAGAAATCATTATAGATTCCCTTCCCCATTCTTAGGTATTACAGTGGTATGTGGTCTTTCAAAGCCCACTCTTTCCAACAAAATCTATTCCTTAGTATTCAATTTTTCTCCTTAGGGAGACATTAATTTAAATTAAATTTTTCTCCTTAGTGGGCAATAATGAAAAAAAATTGCAAAATACTGTGTTAGTCTTTCAGGCATTTGTTCTTAGTCAATCAGCCATTATTTAGAACATTTATTGAATAAATGCCCTACACCAGGCACTGTGATGAGTGGTTGGAGATACAATGGCATCCTCTCCCTGTCCTCAACAACTCCTAATCTATCTAAACAGGAAGAGAGATACGCAACCAGCCACAACAGAGAAGGAGAGCTTGGAAACACAGACAAGGCCTGGATAGGAATCAGGACAGGATTCCTGAAGGATGTGACTTCAGAACTGAGTCCTGAATAAACAAGTCAAAGATAGACAGACAAAGATAGCATGTATAAAGGCTCCCAGAAAAAGACATGGGGCACAGGGAAGGAAATGCAATACTTTAGTATGACTTAAGCTCAGTGTGAGGCAAGAAAGTGTAAAGGGTGGGGCTGAAGGCCTATGTAAAAGCAAGAAACTGAAGGGCTTTCTATATAACATTGAGAGTTTAAATTTTATCCTGAAGGTATTAGAGCCATAGAAGATTTTAAGTAGAGCCTGAAAATATATTATTGGTGTTTTAGAAAATTTATTTTGGCCATAGTATGGAAAACAGACTGGAGAGAAAGTAAAGATGTTCTTATATTAACCCAGGTGAGACAATACTGGCCTCAAATAAAATAACAGTGGTAGTGGGGGGTAGTGGTGGATGAAAGTAAGATTTGAGGGCTGTGGAACTGACAGGAATTGACAGGACTACAGTGAGGTGGGAGAGGTAAAGGACAGATAGGTGATAAGGATGAGATCCAGAATCCTAGCTTGAGCAACTGGAACAGAAACGGAAGGAAGAGCAGTTGGGAATTTGAGGTAATTTTGGAACTTCCAGGTAGAGATTTCCATTGTAAATATGATATTCAACCCTGAAGCACAGGAGGAAAATCCATATAAAAAACCAAATGAGTAAATGAAGCCATGGGAATGAAAGAGATCAAGAAAGACCCTGGAGAATGAGAAAAGGAGATGGACAAGGACAGAATCTTAAAAACAAAAACATCTAAAATCTGCTAGAGAAAGAATAGCACATAAGAGCAATTGAGAAGAAAACCAGACAATACAGTACCATGCATGTGGCAGGTAGGTAGAGCTTTTGAAAGAGGAGAAAACAGTGCATCAACTCTATCAATGCTAGCAGAGAAAGCGAATGAAAGTGTTCATTCATTCCAGTTAACTAACAAGCACTCACTGATTAACCAGAATGAAGTCATTCGTAACCTTTATGAGATAAGTTTCTACAAAATTGTGGGGGCAAAAAGCCATATTGCAGTAGGCTGAGAAATGAGCAGAAGGTAAAGGAACTGGGTCATTAAAAGTTGACAACTCTCAAGAAACTTAGTTGTGAAGAGGAAAAGAGAAGTATACGAGTAGCTGGATGGGAATGTGTATGGATGAAGAAAGGTTTTTATTTCTCTGTTTTATGAAAGAGATTTGAAAATTAAGTACCAATGAAAGAAAGCCAATGGAGAAAGAGAGTAGATGATAAAGTAAAGAGAGAAAGACACCCCAGAAAGCTACAGAAAGATCCAACAAGACTTAATTGTTCTTCATTCCCCCAAAATCTTGAATAAAGAATATTTGGAGAGAGAGAAACAAATTCAGGAGCTTTCCGTTGGAGACAGGAACCACATCAGAGAACAGTCTATCAGTAGTCTGTCCTTAGATCTACCATCTGCCTACAGCATTGTGTGTTAACCTTTGCCTTGTCTTTTAGAAAGGGCAAGGAATCAATTGATGGATCTCACTAATGATCACCTGATGTCAGTTTCTATGAGAATGTCCAGTCTTATGTAAATAACCATAGATGTGGTTTCCCTGATTCCATATACAGTAATTTAAATAGATACACTCCTTGCCCTCAAGAAGCTCACAATAAAAAACAGATGACAGGGACACACATCTACCACCACCACTACCACATGAGGTCACAATATTACAGTAAGAGAACATGACACTTCTTAAACAGGAATTTATATTAGGTATGAGTTTGGTATTTGTTATTTCTGGCTATGGATTACATGAAAGTTTTATTGGCACATTGGGTGGGGTTAGGAAAAGCATTACTGGACTTCCACAAAAACAGAGGAGGTCTGGGAAATAAGTGGGGAGGGAGAACTAGACTGGATTATAAACTCTGAGGAAAAAAACCCATTGTATCCCCTACCACCGGGCTTACGAGGGCTCAGTAAATGACAGCAATTGACTGATTATATAAAGTCCTAGATCCAGAGACTCATTAATGGAAAAACTAGGTTTTTCAACTGGTTCAACTAAGGTTGAACCGGTAAGCCTTGATTCTGGAAATCAAAGGATTAAAGGGGTATGAAACCGTAGACTGGTAGAAAAGGTTTCCAGGGATGGAATATCAAAGAGCAATCAGGCTGATGATGGGACAGTTCAGGAGAATACTGTAGACATGAGTACTGGTACCCAAACTAGATACTACTACCTTTTGGTTTCAGAGAGAAAGCGTGGATATGGAAGAAATAATAGAAGTATTTAGTAATAAACAGAATGTTGGCATAGCCAAGATTTTAGCGTTTTTCTAATGGAAGGGAAGAAATTTTATCATTTATTCTAGAAAATTCTAGGTTATTAAGATTTCAATTAGGAGCTGCAAAGAGACCTCACATGAAAATATGTTTTAAAAGCATTTGTCTATTTTTTTGACTTGGCTATTCATAAGTCTTATCTACAGCATCTTGCAATGTATTCTAGCAGGCAAGAAGTATAAATGATATTGGAAAAGAAAGTTGGGGTCAGACTTTTTATGTTGAGAGAGTTTTAGCCAAGTCAAAAGCTAGCAAGAGACAGCACCAGGACTCCTTCTCAATCTTTGATTCTAAATTTTGTGATCACAGAATATTTTGGAAGGGTAAATAGGTAACATGCCCACAATTAGAATATTACTACTATAACTTGGTAAGAAGTAATGAGGATTTGAACAAACAGGGATAAGAAAGGAGAGAGAAGTCTGGATTCCAAAGAACTGTGGAGGTGATGTTAATAGGATTTGACAACTGAGTACATGGGGTAGGTAAGAAAGAAGGATACATCATAATGAGTACGGGGTTTCCCCAGAAATGACTCACCACACAGTGCAACTTGGTTGTGGCATGCCAATGAGATGAATGTGTGTCCATATGTCATCTAAGAGAATCAATTCATAACAATCTGCTTAAATAAAGATTATCATGACAATGAGACTGCAACAAAAAGTATTGTTGAAACAGCCCTGATTATAGAAAAAGCAGAATTAGTAAGGATCTGTGATTTTTTTTCTCTAACACTACTCCTTAGAAAAAATGCTCCAATTGAGAGGTAGAGTTTGACTGGAGTAGAGGGTTGTTGGAAAGGACATAGCAGGCTTAAATAACTTATTGAAACTAAGAGATTACAGAATATTAGAAATTGAAAAACTGTTAGAGATTAGTTAGTTCAATTATTTCCATTAAAAAAAAACTGTATATAGACGATTTCAAACATACGTAAGTGAAAAGAACAGTATAATGAATCCCTAGGGTAACCTGTTACCAATTCAATAATTATCAATTTATAGCCACTCCTGTTTCATCTTTATCCACCACCCTGATAACTGTAATATTATATAAATATTTTAGTATGAATCTCTAAATATAAGAATTATTTTTTAACACATAATATTGTCAGAAGATATTAGCAAATGCTATATCCAATAAGGTGTTAATCTCCAAAATATATAAGGAACTCATACAACTCAACACCAAAAAACCCAAATAATCCAATTAAAAACGGGGAGAGGAACTGAACAGACATTTTTCCAAAGACATACAAATAGTCAACAGACACATAAGAAGATTTCAACATCACTAATTATCAGGAAAATACAAATCAAAACCACAATGAGATCTCACTTTACACCTGCCAGAATGGCTAGTATCAGAAAGACAAGAAATAGGGGCGCCTGGGTGGCTCAGTCGTTAAGCGTCTGCTTTCAGCTCAGGTCATGATCCCAGGGTCCTGGAATCAAGCCCCGTGTTGTGCTCCCTGCTCGGTGGGAAGCCCACTTCTCCCTCTTCCACTCCCCCTGCTTGTGTTCCCTCTACGCTCTCTCTGTCAAAAAATAAAAAATAAAATCTTAAAAAAAAACAACAAGAAAGACAAGAAATAGTAAGTGTTGGCAAGGATGTGGAGAAAATGGAACCCTACTGCACTGCTGGTAGGAATGTAAGTTGGTACAGCCACTATGGAAAACAGTATGGAGGTTCCTCAAAAAATTAAAAACAGAAATACCATAATGATCCAGTAATTCCACTACTAGCTCTTTACCCACAGAAAACAAAAACACTAATCTAAAAAGACATATGCACACTTATGTTCACTGCAGCATTATTTACAATAGCCAGGATACAGAAACAACCTGTGTCCATTGATAAATGAATGGATAAAGAAGATGTGGTATATACACACAATGGAATATTACTCAGCCATAAAACAGAATGAGATCTTGCCATTTGTGACAACATGGATGGACCTAGAGGATATTACACTAAGTGAAATAAGTCCAACAGAGAAAGACATATGTCATATGACCTCATGTATATGTGAAAACTAAACAACAAAACAACTAACAATAAAAAAAGCAGAAACAGACCCATAAATAGAACTAACTGATGGCTGCCAGAGGGGAGGAGAGTGGAAGGATTAATAAAATGGGTGAAGGGCAATGGGAGATACAGGCTTCCAGTTACGGAATGAACAAGTCACAGGGATGAAAAGTACAGCATAGGAAATACAGTCAATGGTTCTATAATAGAATTGTATGCTGACAGGTATTTAATATATATTTACTAAATATAAAATATTCAGCATTCAGCATTTCTCCAATTGTTTCATAATTTCTCTAGATATGTCTCTGAAGTCTTTTTCATCTATAGTTTCCCCTTCCTTCTTTTTAAATTTTTCTTGCTAATAAAACAGAAGCCAGGTAATATGTCCTAAAAAGTTTCCCACATTCTAGATTTTGCTAAATGCATCCCAATGGTATCATTTTACGTATTCTTCTATACCTTGTATTTTCTTTAACCTGGTATATAAAGGCTTCATCGGATTCAAGTCCAATTATTTGGCAAGAATGCTTCACAGGCAATAGAGGCACACAATGACTAGCTCTTTTTTGGTCCAAAACCCCCCTTATTTTTATTTTTTTAAAAGATTTTATTTATTTATTTGAGAGACAGCGAGCGCACATGAGTGAGTATGAGCAGGGGGAGGAGCAGAGGGAGACGCAGACTCCTTGCTGAGCAGGGAGCCTGACCCAGCAGGGGGGAGGGGCAGAGGGACAGACAGAAGCAGGCTCCCCACTGAGCAGGGAGCCCAATGCGGGGCTCAATCCCAGGATCCTGGGATCATGACCTGAGCTGAAGGCAGACACTTAACCGACTGAGCCACCCAGGCAAAACAAAACCCCCTTATTTTTAAAATATGGATTAAATTGAAGCCTCAGCATTGTCAAGTAGTTCACACAGTGATAAAATCAAGAACAAAACCCCAGCCTTTTAATTCTATTTTCTACTCCTTTCATTATATCAGATATTGTTAACATCTTGCTGATTGATTATAATATACCAATTACTCTGCTATGCATTATATGAGATATGGTCCCACCACTCACCACTTATTACACAAGCCATAAATCCGGAAGTCATTCTAGGATTCTTCACTTCTCTTACTTTCACTAAGTCCATTAATTTTATCTAAATAACATCTCTCTCATTTGTTCCACCCTTTCTACCCCCCACAGCTACTGCTTTAGTTCAGACCTTTCCCATTGCTTTCCTGAATCACTAAAATAGCTTCTTGGACCCCCCTTCTCCATAACTATCTTGCCTTTTTCAACCCAGATCTACCTTGTCAATAAAAGATTTTTCCAAGTTACAAGTCTAAATATATTATTTTTCTGCCTTAACCCTTTGATATTCTCTCATTTCCATGGTGGAGTCCATATTCATTAATACAACCTACAGTCCCCATCATCTGGCCTTTGTCTATCCAACCACCCTCATCTTCATTACTTCCACTCACTATATTCCAGTTTATTGAATCATTGAAGCTTTCTGAATGTGCCAGCAAGGATATATAGTGATTAAAAGTAGACTCTAGAATTAGACTTGACTTTGATCCCTATAGTCCCCCATTTACTATCCATGCAACCCAGAACATACTTACCATCTCTGTGCCCCACTTACCTCACCTGTAGAATGGCAATAATCTCACTGTATTATTTTCTGTGTGTGTGAAGGATGACTGAAATAGCACAAGTAAAAAACTAGCATGAGGGCACTCAGCAAATATTGGAAGTGTGTCATTATGTTGTTCATTCATTTCTATATCCTTTAAATCTATTCCCAAGAATGTTTCCCTCTTCTTTCTTGATAACCTTTCCCTTATTAATAACCTAGAAAATTCCGATTCTGATCTCTAAACCTTGTAGATATTTGCATTGCTGTGCCCTACAGCTGTAAGTCTGTCTCTCTACACAACTGTGAAAATTTTAGACAGGGACCAGATCTTTCTTATATTTGGCTCTTCATGTCCTGGAACGCGGGCTCTCCACTGTCCCGGTTCAGTGGAAAGCTCAATAATTCAAGTTTGGTAATCTGAACAAAATTGATGGTGTTCACTTTAATTATATTAATTTTAATTTATGAGTTACTGAAGCATATTTTAGGAAAAATATAAAATAATTGATATTAAAATATTAACTGTTCATCAGCTCCTTTCCTTTATTTCTTTTTTTACTAAATTAAATAATGTAGGATTGTATCTTATGACAATAAGTTTCCTTTTCTTTCAACAGTGAAAACTTGCATAATTATAAAATTTTTAAATGGTTAAATCTTTTGCTACTTATTTTAATTCAAATCCAGTATATTATTATATATATTCAGAACTCAAACTATTCATCTTCATCTAAACCTTCAATTAAATTCCACAATGCAAACCTCTTGGCCCTAGAACCACATTTCATGTTTATTCAACTGAGACTGTGTCTTGAAAAAGTGTTGAAGTTTGGGGGTTTTCTGGTGAGAATCCACATTCTGACATCACCTTGCCCATGACAGCGATTGGCTGTTAGAAGGCAAAGAAGAGTTTATAGCCAGTCACAGCAAGCAAATGAGTGAGTGAGAGAGCAGAGGAAATATTCAATCTGTGTCGCTCACTCCTGTGAGATTGTCTCCTCACTCCAGCACTGCAAAAGGGTAAGATTTACTATGATGACTTCATTTTCTTAAAATTGAACACTCCACATTTTACAACTCTGGACCTCCTTTGAATTTTTTATTTTAATGTTGATGTTATTGAATTGTATAGAATGGCTATGTAATTTAACACTTGTTTATCATTAAACTAGTACCTCAGAGTTAAGATTCTTTCCAAAAGGTTAAGCTTATTTACCTACGCATGTAAATAAGTTCTTAATATTGTGCACATAAACTAGAAAATTCTGTGTCCTACTTTCTATCTCTCCACCTCACAAATAACTGTTTGTTTCCTCATTCTGATGTATTCAAGATAACCTGACTGAAATACTATTTTTCACTTGTAACTCTGCCCCAATGAGTGCAAATTTCACCATAAATTATGCCTAATCTACTTGGATTATATATAATGTCTTTTTAACATGTTCGGTTTCAAAGTGTTGATATCCTGTATCTCTAAAATCAGTATGGGAAAATATATAGGACTAAAGAAATAAATAATGTTGTTAGTTTATCAGACTTTTCCCAATAAAAACTTGTAATTAGATTTTCAAAACTATCCTTTAAGAATTTGAATTGTCGTCTGGGTTAGTAGTAGTCAATATAGAGTCTGTGTTTTTTATGAATCAGAAAGTAAATAAAATGAGATTTATGTAGGCAGCTGATTGCTGCCTACATGAATCACTTGGTTCTTTTTATATTATTCCTGCTACGTTTTCATCTAGTTGTTTTTATGGTTTGCTATGAGAAATTTATGTAATCAAAACCCTTTCTACAGTTCCATGTACTTAAGTTTTTAGCTCTTTAAGACATTATAAATATTCCAACTCTTTTCATAAAGCTGCAGAGCAATCTTCCTGTTTGCTGGCAAGCTTGACCATGGGTAACAAAGTTCAAAGTATTACTTTA